GGGGAGGGGAGGGGAGTGAAGTGGAGGGAGTCAATTGGGAGGAAAAACTTGGACATCTGTAATACTCTCAACAATAAAGATAAAATAAATAAAATAAACACAAACTTTTTAAAAATTTAAAAATAAGAATAAATGGAAGCTCCCTCAGGCAGAGATGTCTCCTCCCTCAGACTATGGGCTCTTAGACGATAGGGAATATGTCTCCCTTTATATTGGGGTGCTGGCTCTTTGCAGATAGGGCATGAACACCCTCCCCACCAGGAAGGATACCACTGGGTTTGGTACTAAAGAAATTAAATGTCCATTGCTCTGAAATCAGAGTGGAATCTGGGAACACAAGGACAGACCTCAGAGGTCATCTTTTCCAAGGTCTTGCATCTGAAAATGTTCAGACCAGCCCAGGAGGGTTAGGCAGGTCCCAGGATGAGGCCAGAGGAGCTGGTGATGGAGGCAAGAAAAACCCCAGGCCCATCCTGCCAGCCAGCAGCAGGGCAGGAGGAGACAGGAAGTGTAGTGGGCAGACCTATGCTGCTATTCAGGGCAGACCCCAGCAGGCCCACACACTTGAGATCCCTGGCTGTTGCTCCTTAGTCCTGCTAGAATCCAGAACTTTGCAAAAAACAAAACAAACTCAGGATTCTCGTTAAAGCACCCACACACCCCGCCCCCTCATACTCCTAGACCCAGACCCCCAAGAAGGACCTCTAGACTGAGAGACCCATAGGGGGCCCCCAGACTAAGACCCAAGAGAGGGCCTCAGAGTAACCCCCAAACTGAGACCTCACAGAGGAACTGGGGAAATAAAACTCAAACTGACACTTCACAGAAGATCCCCTCAAATGGAAGAGATGCAGAGAGGTCCCAGGCTGATCTACCAAGGAAGCCAGAAAGAGAAAACTGGAGAAAAAGATCAGGACAAAGGAGCAAAGGCAGATACCTGTAGGGGTCATTCCCACCCCCCTCAGCACAACAGAGGTACTCACCAGGCCAGATGGCAGAGAGAGACTCGGGGAGGAAAGCAAAGGGCCAGGTTCACAGAATGGGGATTTATATGCCAGCCCTACTGGCCCCAAACTTGGCATTTTCAGGCAGCCGAACCTGCCCTAACTTGATCCTGTCAAAACCTGGCCTCCAGCCACCCCCCACCCCCTCCCACTGGGTCCCCTCCCTCTCAGAGACTGCCAGCCCTGCCACCAGCTGGAAGAGAGCTCTAGGCCCAAAAGGCAGCCCTCGGGCCCACCCAGGGCACGGGGTGAATGGGAGGTGTCATGGGAAGAGGCAGCCGGGGCCCAGGGTGAGGGGAGGCAGCTGTTTGTGTGGCCTGGAGACTCATGCCAGGCCTTGTTCTCATGACATGCCTGTGAGTCACAGCTCATTCACATGTCATAGGTTGCAGGCGCACACTAGGACTTCACAGGCCTCTGTGTGTGTGTGTGTGTGTGTGTGTGTGTGTGTGAGAGAGAGAGAGAGAGAGAGAGAGAGAGGGTGTCTGTGTGTGGGGGGGGAGACAGACACACAGAGAGAGTTTGAAGCAGTCTGGTGCTACCCATAGAAAGCTGAGACCCAGAAAAGGTGTGGGGAGGGGCATCTCGGGAAGGAGAGGAGGGTAAGGCTTCATGGAGGGGGGTAAACAGAGTTACTGTGAATAGTCACCACCAGAAACCCTGGCCCCGTAACCTAGTTGGTTAGAGCGTCCTCCCAGTACACCAAGGTTGTGGGTTTGATCCCCGCCAGGGCACATACAAGAATCAACCAATGATGCATAAATAAGTGCAAAAACAAATCGATGTTTCTCTCTCTCTCTTGCTCTCAAATAAATAAATAAATAAATAATAGCCACCACCAGAATACCTGTTAATGAGGAGCGTGGGTGTGCTTAAAAAATACCTTGAAAGACCCACTTTGGGTAGGAAAAGGTCTGGAAGGAGACAGAGACACCATGAGAGATGGAGATGCCTCTGCTTATAATTGGCGTTGGGTAAGCCATAGTCTGGAGGGAAGGGGCGGGGCAGGACAGCTTTCTAAGCCGGGAGGCCAGGATTCACGCTGCCCCCACCTAGGCCCACCTTACCTACTGCTCTTGGTTTATCCCCAGCCCAGTGTGGGCACCGCCCTTCCTGCCAGTCTGGGCACGGCCCTTCCTGCAGCCCCAGCTCCCCTCCCCCCCTCCGGATGTCCAGCAGCTTCTTCCCCTCCCCCAGCTCCCAACCTCCCCGCCCCCTCCTAGGTGACTCACCCTGTGGTGAAAGCCCAGATGCCCAGGCAGTGACTCAGCGGCACCCTCGCCACACCCCTGCCCCAGGGCCAGGGCAGCCGGCGGAAACTCCAACCCGGCCGGCCGGGGGAGAGTGCTGATACCAGGACCTGCAGTAGCCCACCCTGGGGAGCTCTGGATTATCACACCACAGAGTTCAGGCGAAAACCAGCTAGGATCAGATGTGAAGCCAGACTGGTCTCTGCCTGGGGGTCACCTTGGGACTTAGGGGCCACCTGAGCACCATGTATAAAGTCAGGCTTGGAGCTCAAATGTCTTCTAGACCTTTGCACACCGCCCAGTGTGCCCTCTTCCCCAAGGCACTTGAACCCCTCGTGCTACTGCCCTTCCCCATCAAAACCTATTTCACATAGAGCTTGGAATAAAAATCCTTCACCCTGAGTGTAAGGACCGATGAGGGGATGGGGGTGTTGAGGAATGAGTGAAGAAAACAACATGGAGCCGGTACAGCTAAGCTGACTTAAAATGGATTCTTTGTTGTCAAGCTGGTTCAGATCAAATGGGCTGAAGCATGAGGAATAGATTTTATTTTACTTTAGCTAAGGCCTGAGGTCTTAAACTTTTGAACTTTCCAGTTGTGCATCAGTGCCTGGAGAGACATAAATTCCTACAGATAGCCCTCTGAAGGACTTAGGGAAAAAAGTCCATGTGTCCAGATCACCTGACATCCATTATCCAGACCACTGAACATCTGGAAGATTATTGTCACAGACCAATCCAGAGGCTAAAAATGCAGGACTGACTGTTCTCAAGAATGTGCTTTTTCCTATAAGGACTCTCAGCTTTTCGTTCTTCTTCAAAACACTCAGGTTATTGCCTAGTTGTGTTTTCGATTTGCAAATCCTAAGACCCTTGAATAAAGCTTTGCCTTTATTTCTAACCCAAGCCTCCTGACCCTTTTGTGCTCATCAACAGGTGTACTGCATTGTTTTTCTCAGCAGTTCTTCATTTTAATTGAGGACTTTAGCAGATGCCTCTTCTGCTCAGAAATTGCAGTGGTGTCCCCCCCGGCTCTTCTATGAAGCCCGGCAGTGAGGTGCTCAGGCTCTGGTCCTCACCTGCTTTCTACTCTCGCCTGCATGTACTCTAACTGCCTTTCTCATTGTGACTTAAGTGCATGGATACTGCATCTGATATGGCCGAAATCCTTTGCTTATGCTGATCCCTCTGATCAGAATGTGCAGAGGGGCCCTGTTGAAATTCCACCTATCCTTCAAAGGCAAATTATACACCACCTACTTCATAGAGCCTTCCCCAGGCCCGACCAGATTCCATTTCTACCTGATCTGTCCCATACAAAGCACTCCTTTTGTCCTTGTGTACGTAGAGCATTCTTCTCTAGATTGAATCACTCGTCTTCTCTTGCCCTCACCACCCCCCATGGTGAGCTCACTGGGCAGGAACTGGGTCTTACTCATTTCTGCGTGAGCAAAGGGTTTCTCCCACACCAGGTGCCAACCAGTGTTTATGCTTACTGAGTGGCAACGGGGAAGAGGGTCACTAGGGGTAGTATTTAGAAGGCAGAAGGCCTTCTCACCTCCCCAAGTTATGCTACCAAGTCATAACTTCTTTTCTGGTTCCCAGGGGTGGAACTGAGACACTGGGATGGAAAACAGAGCTCCAGAGAGCTACAAGTCCCTGAGGAAAGACTGCAGGAAACATCTCACTCCAGGGGCCCAATGAGCAAATTCCCCATCCGGGAGAGATGGAGACAAGAAGGAGAAACACAGAGGCGGTCAGATGGAAAGTGGAAGAAAAGATCAGAGAAAAATAGCTACCGAAACAAAGAAAATGTGAGGGAGAAGGAAATAAGGAGAGGAGAGGAGAGAGAGAGAGAGAGAGAGAGAGAGAGAGAGAGAGAGAGGAGCAGAACCACGGATTCCTAAGGCCCCACCTAGAGACCTGTCCCTAACCTAGAAACTGAGGCCAGAGAGTGCCCATCAAGTGGCCACGTGACTAAGACTGGTGATTAATTTGCCACTAACTTGCTGTGTGATCTCGAGCCACTCCCTGCCCCTAGGCAGAACAGGAAGGTTGGCTAGAACCAACCCTAGAATCCAATGCCCCTCTGGATTTTTCACTTCTCTATGAAGGAAGAGACAGGCAATGGGCACATTTCTGGCAATGACTTTGCCTCTGCGGAGCCTAAGAAGCTGGTTCCTCACATTCTGTCACACACACACACACACACACACACACACCCCACACACACGATTTTCCACCAGCAGCCGATGGGGTTTGCCCGTCTGATTCATGCCCCCTGGTGGTAGGGACATGTCATTACAGGCTGGTCTCTCCCTGTTCCTTTTTCCTTCCTCTAGTTCCTGTGGGCCAGCCCTGCCATGCCCTGCACTTGACTCACGCTGCAGGAGGCAGTGGTGATTCACCTCCAAGGAGCCTTCTCACACCCACACCCCTCGCATCTGCCTCACATATAAGGTGTTTCCTGGACAGTCCCTGTGGAGCAGCCCAGGTGGATTTCTAGAAGTAACCCAAATGCCTGGAAGCTATTTTAAAAGCCTCAGGGTAGGGGCAGAAGAGAAGTAGGTGGCAGAAGTCAGGGGCCAAACACTGCCCACCAAACCCCTTCTCCGAGGCAGTTAGGTGCAAAGGGAAATGGCCTCACTGTTTGGGGCCCCAGGTTTAAGGCCTGGTTCTCCCTCTGACTCACCATGCCACCTTCAGTGAGTTGCACCACACCCCTGAGCTTAAATGTTTCATGACAAGGATCTCTTTGATTATCCCTCTGCCCTCAAAAAATATGCTTTGAAACATTTTCTCTTAAAAATCTGCATTAAATAGTTTATCTAACTATCCCCTGATAGCATGATCGGCATGAAAGTGTTTAAACAGTGAATCTGGGTCATTCTGGATTTGCTGTATATGATGGGTTTGTGCATGTGACATGGAGCACCTACTGTGTGCTAGGTGATTTCCATATATTTTCCCCTTCAATTCACACAACCACCCCAGGAAGCTGGTACAATCTCACCCCACTTTACAGAAGGAAAAACTGAGGCTCAGAGAAGTTTGCCTGAGTTCACACAACTTATGAGGCAACACAGGTAAACCTCCTCTATTGCTCCAGTCATTGAGAATCCCTAACTTTCTGATTCCTCCTCAGGCCAGCCTTGGTCTCTCTGCCATCCTCTCCTCACCCAGCCACTCAGTCTCATTCCTCAACTTCCCCTGGTGCTCAGGAGCCCATCTCCTCTGCTTGCTCTGGTCTGTCACCTTCGAGGATCCCTTTTCCTCTTGCCTCTAATTGCACTCTGGCCTGGATTTAAAATAAGCTTAAAAGAAACCATCCTCAGATCTCCCATCTTCCTTAGCCCTCCTTTGTGCCACAATTAACACACCACCATCCACCCAATGATCCAAACCAGAAACTTGGCTGTCCTCCTAGCATCCTGCTTCCCCCTCACCGCTGCCCAGATATCCGATCAGTAGATGTGTCTTCCTGCCTCCTACATACCACTCAGCTCTGTCCCACACTGCCTGCAATTCTGCAGCAGCATCTTGACCCTGGATACTGCAAATACATCTGGGCTCTCCTCCCTACTCTAACCTTGTCCCCCACTCTGACCCCTTCTCAGCTCTGCCACCAGGGTGATCTTAAAATTCAAACTTGAGCACATCATTCCCCAGGTGAAAACATTGATTGAACCCCCATAACTTTCAGGAGAAGACTACCGGACATGGCCCAACTTTCCAGGTATGAAACTTCACTAATGCACATGCCAGGCCCCTCCATACCTCTGAGCCCTGCCTATGCCATTCATTCTCTTGG